GATACTGGCTTTTTTCTAGATTTTTTTTGCAGACGATGTGTTGATCAAACAAAGCGCTGCGCTGAGTATTACTCCTCCACTCCGTCCATACTTCATATTGCTGCCTAATTTTTTACCACAAATGAACTCGAATACAGAGAAGAAGACAACGAAGACAGCCAAGGCTGGTGGGTATCAAGTGCCGTGGATTGAAAAATACCGTCCTCGCAAGCTGSAAGACGTTGTAGGAAACGAGGAAACTTTGGTTCGACTCCAGGCGATCGCGAAAGATGGAAACCTCCCTAACTTAATTCTTTGTGGACCACCAGGAACGGGTAAAACCACAAGCGTCCACGCATTAGCACACGAGTTGCTTGGGGATTCGTACAAAGATGGTGTGTTGGAACTGAATGCATCCGATGCTCGTGGTATCGATGTTGTACGTAATCGCATAAAGTCGTTTGCGATGAACAAGGTCACTCTTCCCAAGGGCCGACATAAGATTATTATTCTAGACGAAGCAGACAGTATGACCACCGCTGCCCAGCAAGCCCTACGAAGAACGATGGAAATATACTCTAACACTACTCGATTTTGTTTGGCTTGCAATGTAAGCACCAAAATCATTGAAGCAATCCAATCCAGAGCTGCTATTTTGCGCTACAGCCGTTTGTCCCACGAGCAGATTCTTGCAAATCTGTTGAAGGTTTGCCAGGCAGAAGAGATTCCCTATACAGAAGGTGAGTTCATTCAGATAGTTTTATGTTTGAAACTATTGTTGACACATGGATAAACAACGCGTTCGAAACGATAGGCAATCACATCATCGAATGAATTTCATAGCAATAATATCATTTTTCATGACTACGACGACAAAAGATATTTCTGGTCGGTGCAAAMGCTCTTGTGTCACTCAAATCTTGGAATTTTCTACTTTTCTCCCCATTTAGACGGCTTGGAAGCAATTCTGTTCACAGCCGAAGGAGACATGCGCCACGCATTGAACAACTTGCAAGCAGCTAGTTCACTCGCGAAGGGGGCTGGGGATATGGTCAATCAAAAATCTGTATTTCAAGTTTGTGATCAGCCTCATCCGACAATTGTGAGGGATATCATTGATTCATGTGGGAGGGGAAACCTGCACGAGGCGATCGAACAACTCGATGAATTGTGGAGTTCGGGGTATGCGGCTAGCGACATAATCGGAACTGTTTTCAAGGTCACCAAAGCGCATGATAGCCTGCCAGAAGGCGAAAAACTGGAATTTCTACGAGAGATTGGCTTTACTCACATGCGAATTTCCAATGGGGTGAACTCATATTTACAGCTACTGGGACTGATTGCGCGCTTGTGCCATATGGTAGAGGTGACACAACAATGAAACTTTAAGCTGAAACACTGAATGTTGAATGAAACGCTGAAGCTTTTGAATGAATGAATGCATTGTGAATTGATTCATATTGCTCTTTACATTTTGTATCCCATGAAAAATCTCAATGCAATTTTAGTAAGGCACYATGTCCATGGAAGTAGCTACTTCACTAATTTGCTAACAATACCAATCTAGTTTTGCTTCAAGAGCTTTGAAAGTGCTTTGGTTTGGATACAATATGTGATACTTTTGAAAGCTCAATAACATTGTGGACGTTTTGAGAAACAACGCAAGGTATTCCAATAGAGTATTCTGAACCATATTTACCCCTCTATTCAGCATTATGTGGTGCCGCATCAACTCCAATCGGTGAGGTAATCCGCAACTGAAAAGTGGAGTGCTTATGATGACTCATGTCTAAGTTTATGATAACAAAACTCCTCAGAGTCATTTCACTAGTGTGTGTGCGATATAACAATATGGATAGTATGTATGGTTTTTATTAGCTAAAATTATTATCTATCGTTAGAAGCATTAGTCGCAAGGAGAGGTAGCGCTCCCATACCCCTTATGGGAATTTTTTATATAYAAAAGGCCTGTCTATATCTTTTTGCGCCTTGTACCCTGCCTTTTCCTTGAATTGTATAAAAGTCTGTAGAGAAKAACAAAGCGACCGTTCGTCGGTCCCTCTTGTTCTAAACTTTCTGGCGTTTCGTTTTCGGTTCGTCTCCGCCCAGGACGATTGGTGAAATCGATCGCGAAGTTTTTCCAAGTACAGAGTTAGCAGGGTCAACGTCGTTGAGACTAACAGTCCTTGGTAGCTGGTGATATTTATGAAGTTTCAAAAACATTTTGGGAGCAAGCTTTCTGAGCATTACTTGAAGTTTTCGAACGTCTTCAGACTCTGGAAAGAAGGCATTTGATATTTGTCTGATGCTCACAAGAAATCGAATCTTGGTCTCAAATGGCATCGGCTTGATGGATTCTTCAACATAATCTAGGGCGCAGAGAATGGCGCTGTAAGAAATCATTGATGGGCTGTAACTGAAACTGAAGTCTGAGACAAAGATGGATAGTTCTGTAAGATACTTTGCGACGTCAAAGATCTGACAGACAACATCCTCTCGTGGAATGTCCCATTCCATCGATGACCACGTTGGGAGAAGTCGAAGGAATGAAAATATGCATCGGGCACAAGTCGGTGGATTGATGTGCCACTTGAAGAGAGTCAGGAGCTCAAGTTCTTTCGCTGCGATGGTCTCTGTTGTGAAGCATCCTCTACTTAGCTCTTGAAAGGCTGAAATTCTTAGCTTGATTCGCTTCCCATCCACATCCGAATCCATTTCCCCGTGAACTTTCATTGCGAGGTAGAGTGATGTCACCGCATAAAGTTGGTAGTCTTTCTTCGAAAGATTCTTGTTCGATGTTGGTCCGTATGCCAAAGAGATGCTCCTATCAAGATAATCGAAGGCAAAAGAGACAACTTCCCGGTCGAAATCGTAGTGATCTGTAACTTCAAACATCCATTCACAAAGACGTCTTCTCCAGTTTTCATTCACACCACTTCGGCACCCATCAAATTCAAAGTAATTCAGTGGTGGTTTGTAATGCTGACTCTCAACTTGCAAAATGGCCTTGAGTTCATCCTGGAACAGTTCCGAAGGTGGTGCCAATAGAGAAAGGTTACTAACTTCGGCACACTCAACGCCATCGATCTCATCATGGATGGCTAATGCATTTCTCAATATCTTTCTCGGTGGTGTAACTGTCACTATCCCTCTTGGCTCCTCCATCTTCATCTAACCGTTCAGGAAGATAACAAATGATTTTTGTGATAACTCCGTGTGGAAACTAGAGATAACAGAGGCAAGGCGTAAATGCAGTACCGTACGTTACTGATGCTTTGCGGTAGAAGATGATTTTGGATTTTTTTTTCAGGCAGGAAGTCGCGCACAGCGCGGTTACTCGTACKGTTTAACATAGGAACCACTAGGCCAGTTCCGTACTGCCCACGCTAAACGAGGAAGGAACTAGCTCATGATGGGCACGAAAAGTTCAATTCCTTCATCATCCACCACACAAGTCGGAAAAAAGCTCTGATGTAATTACTGCTGCCGACGCAGAATTGGCAACAAAGAACCTTGCCCTTTAATTAAAAAAATATCGTAAGATGTGTTTGTTTTTCATTGTTGTGTCTAGAAAGTCTCCATTGGCTTATTTTTTTAGTTTCTTCTGACGACATACAAATACCCTTCTTTTCGGTTCTTCCTTCAAGTCGCTTTGATCGAATCGGTTCGCTATCAAATGGATATAACGTTAGAATTGGGCGGGAACTTCGTGTCGTCATCTAGTGCTCCGATGACGCACTTCTTGAAGAGCATGGTTTAAAAATAAAACAATAAATATATTCGACTCTTTCGACTAGAGTATCTACGTTCATGATATTTTCTCATCAATCAAACAAAATTACCGTACCGGGTCCGGTACGAGGAACGAAACCTAATGTGTGGATCGAATATGAGACAGGTTATAATCACCAAAAAAACGCGCAGTTTTAACTAGTAAAAAAAAAACAGCACGAGGGGGGTTGTCTCACCCTCCAGACACACCAATTGGGACACTTCCCCTCCACACATATAGTGGAATAACTTCACTGTAATAAGAAGAAGGGGATCCGGAAGTCTCAGATCAATTGACCAACAAGTGTTTTTTTAATTCGAGTTTTCCATATCAGTATCGTAGCATCCTACATACAAATTAGTACTACTAAATATTTCGATATCAAAATACTTCATGTTTTTTTAAAAAGTGAGACAGGTTCAAGTCGGGAACCCTAATGAGGTGTATTGTTCTCTCTGTAGAGTCACGTACATTTTGTACCGAATCCGGACCTGTCTCCACCTCATTAGGTTTCGTACCTCGTACTCGTACGTATTGTGGTATCACTACCTGGTACCGTACGGTAGGGTATCGGTAGTCCGTGAGGCGAGGGAGGATTTGGATTGTGCACGATTTTGCACCGSACGGTACCACATACGATACCTCGTACTACCGGCAGCTTCTAAATTTCCAACAAAAGTATCATAAGGCACGACTAATCGTACGTATCCCACCATACCAAAACGATGATGCGTCATCACCAAAAAATGACAATTTGAAGTTGTCAACCAACTCACTATGGACATCGCCACATCCMAGCAACAACGAGAAAGCATCCGGTCTCCTTCAAAATTATGTAACAAAAAGTATTACTAGTAATACTAGTACTACTAGGTACTAGTAGTTACTGCTACAAATTATTACAAGTAACACTACTAGTAGTAGTCCAAGTGCAGTAGTAGTGCATCATATTATCAAGATTAGTATTAGGTCTACTACTACTACTACTAGTAATAGTGCCTACTACTTCTTCTTGTGGAAAAGGAGGAGGCTTAATTATCAATGATGTCCTTCATCTGGTGGTTTGGGATTCTTTGATTCAAGAATCCAGAGCATACAGAATAAGAAAATGTGGAGGCATTGACTGCTAATGTGACTGGTGAATTTGCAGCAGAAGCCAACAAGTGTGAGGCTCTTTGTGAAGTTCACAATGTATTTCTGCCCCCCCTTCATTGTGCCATGGAAGAATCAGTTGATTTTGTTGGTGGAGACAACACATAAAGAGATTAGGCACATGGGAAAAGCAAAACCTAGTCGTTGAGATGAGGAGCTTACAGTATCTATCTCCTGTAGTAACCTAGGTACTATTAGAAAAGATTGCCTACGCATGTTCAGTAGTACTAATAGCAAGCTTCCTCAATAGTGCTCCTCCTTGTAGTATTGGTAATGGTATTAGAATTCCTTTGTCATATGAATGGTGACACACTAGCTACTACTACTAGTACTAGTAGTACTAGTACTAGTAGTAATTACTATTCTGCACATTCTGTTTACTCACAGCACTGAAGAGGCCCGTGTAGCATACTTTGGGAAAAAAGAATAGGAGACACTGCTGTAGTAGTGGTACTAGTTTGGTTGTTAAGTTACTGTACTACTACATGATTTTAAGAATAGAGGAAGAAGTATTAGCAGTAGTACTAGTAGCACTAGCACTACTAGAAAATAAAACTACATATCAGCCAGCTGTGGATGGAGCATCATCCTTCTTGYTTGGAACTGCTGAAACTTCTAGCTAGTAGTAATGCTGCTAATTAAGTAATAGTATTGTGGTTTGCACTAGTAGTAGTACAGTTTCTTCTGCAAATAATGTACTTATGTACACAGAAATTTTTTGGTCAAATATTACAATATAATCAGTTGTTTGCAATAAGTTCTAGGGCAAAAATGAAAATGCTGGACAATGGTTCTTACCACACCAGGAAAAGWTGTCCTTGGTAACAAAGTAGAAACCATTGAGGACACTTTTCTGGCTCGTCATCATAGAAGTAAACTCACTGGAACAAAAACTTCTAGTACTTGACAACAAATRCTCCCTTAGCTTATTCATGCTAGTAGCCCCAAAGCTTGAATTCTGTTGAGCAYTGCAGCATTCAAAAATTATTTTGATGAGAGATTTATGACAAACTATTATGAAACCATTTATACCCTTCAAGTATTACACCAAACAAGGTTCAAGTTGAGTGTTTTTGGATGGCCAAATTGCCTGACTTGTTGTGTCCCTACTGGATCACTTCAGTCAATTATGCAATCAATTATGGTGGTGATAGGCAAGTATCAATTTTCATTGAATCACTAGTTCAAAAACTTTAATTTAAAATACCATGCAAACCTAAACAATTGCCCAAGAAGGCATCAATTGATGTTAGTATTCTGTGATCTAAGTAACTTACTGTAGCATTGCATAAAGATTTCATGATGAGACTGTCTAAAATCCCTCTTGAGATCAGATTTCCACAGAAAAACTCAGCAGCTGTATGAAGAAAAGAAAATCTAATTTTTAGAGTCACACAGTCTTGTTGCTTTTATATATCGTATGAGGGAATGTTGCTATGCCACAAGCTTCTGGCACAGAGCAGGCAAAAGGACAAAACTGCAGAACAATAGTTTCTATTGCTAGGCTCAAAGACACTTCATCCTGGCCCTCCTTGGGATAGAGGGTTGTGACAAGGCTACTGTTGCAGTTCAAAAGTAGTAGAAGTATCTAGTAGTACTAGCACTTTAGATTGACTTTATTACCAGTAGTAGGATTATCACAACTACTTGAAAACAATCTAAATTTTATATTTGACCTCATGAACTAGAAGAGGCAATGAGTTGACCAGAGTCATTTCATTGCCTGACTAGGAAGAATAATGCTTCTAGTTCATCCAATGGGGGGTACCTCCAACCAAGGAGGTTTTGTGGAGGTGTGACCAGTTCCATGCATACTGACAAGTCAGTTAAGGCCAAAGAAGGCTGAACTCAGGACACATAGAGGGTGGTGGTTCACAGTTTGGATGGATTACTAGAGCCATTCCATTATAATTTCCAAGTGCACTGCCAAGCCAAAAGGCAAGTCACAGCACCCCAGTGAACAAGGAAACATGTATCAAGCACACTACCAAGCCAATGAAGGCAAGTTCAATCACAGCATACAATGACACATGTGATGAAGTAGTCATATAAAAAAATACAGCTCAGCAAACCAATTTGGTCATGGTGTAGTAGGGTCCTTTAAGTTCATGGTCATAGATATTTTGTGGAAGTAGAAGTGTCAATAACTGCAGTATTACTGCTGGAGCAGCTGCCTGTGTCCCTTTTTCTTGGAGAAGGGGTCATGGACAAGCTTATCAATKGTAATGCAAACAGGATGTTGTTTAGATAGGAGGGCATGGGTGAAAAGTTTGGGGACAGCTCTAAATGATCTAGACTKACCTGGGGCTTGTGTTGTAATTTTTCAGAAGCAAAGTGTAATTTTGGGGATGCAAACATGCATTTTGAAAACATTGTTTTGAAAATTATGATCATTATTAGTACTTCTAGTACTAGTGTGTTACAAGAAGTACTATCACCATCAGTACAACTACTATTAATAGTAATGCTAGTATTAGTTCTATTCTTAGTAGTACTACTATGAATATTGATATCATCATAAGTATAACTTCTTTGTTGGTCACACTCATTAAAAATCTTTTCTCAGGTATTAGTAAAAAAATGTTGGTCACATGTCTGAGGTACAATAGTAACTCCTCAATTATGTGTATCAATCCAATCTTGCCTCTTGACAGTCACTAGGAAGCCTTGTTTTGTGCTAGTGGATATCAGTTCCAACCTCTGCCAACAAGAAGAATAACAGTGGCAACACAATTGGATGCATCCTCTGCTATTGATGGTGATGGAAACAATTTTGAGAGCAATATCATGTATCACTCAAATCTATTCAAATTGAGAAACAAGAAGTGTGATAGCAGTAGCTACCAGCTATGTCATAGTAGAAAGGTATGTGGTTGTTAGTCAAAACTAGAACCAGCAGCATCGTCAAGCATGGCCCATAGAGAAACAATTATGACTTTTGTAATTCAAAAAGCAAGTAGTACTGTGATTTTAAAACTTCTGGACTAGAAGAGGCACTACTAGCACTAGTAGTAGGAAGACACAAAGTATTGCTTCTCCTGCCTAGGGAAAAAATCCCACCAATAGATGATCCTCCTCCAAGGGGCAGCACCTACAATTGGGCATTATTTTTTCTATGCATAGATTTTTTCTATGCATAGTACTGACAAGCCAATTAAGACAGGGTGTTGGACTCAGAGAGGATATAAGGGGGTTGGATCACAGTTTTGATGGATGGAAGCCATGCTAGCATGTAGGGATAAAGTTTTTTTAAAAAGGAAAAAAGTCAAAAGAAGTGAGATACAATGATAGTTTGATACCATGCTACCACTAGTAAAAAAATCTTAATATTGTGTTTAGTGACCTCATGAACTAGAAGAGGCACTATATGGTCAGGTCCATACCTTCAACTGGCTAGGGAGAAGAATGCCCCTAGCTGCTCCAAGGGTTATCACCTCCCTCCGCGGAGGTTTTGCAGAGGTACAACCAGGTTCTATGCATACTGACAGGCCAATGAAGACCTGATGCTGGACTCAGAGGACATAAATGGAGTTGGTTCACAGTTTGGACGGATGAGAACCATACTATTATCATTTCAAAGTGCACTGCCAAGCCAGAAGGCAAGTCCCACTGTAGTGATCAAGGAAATGAGTGTCAAGCACACTATCACACCAGTTAAGGCATGCTCGCTGGCAGTGTACAAAGACACAGGTGATGGAATAGTAAAAAAGAAAAAATCAAAAAGAAAAGACAAAAAAAGGGGGGRAAAGGAAACAAACACTACTTTGATATTCTTGGGCCCACAAAACCCTTGGAGGTGCAGGTTAAATGTGGATGGTTGCAGTTGCGCTGCAAGAGGTGGTTGTTGTTGTGATCCAACACAAATGTCAGAAATATCAACTCATCTTCTTCTGGTCTGTAAGGAATACTGTTGGAGCTGCATGGAGATGCTGGGGAATCTTCTTTAAAACTGAGTATKRTRTRGCATATACTCCAGGCGTTGTTCTTCAAAGGATAGATCTTGGTTGAATACTGGGGGCTGGGGGTGTTGTTGTTGTTGCTGTCCAACACAAATGTCAGAAACAACAAAATTGTGAGCGGAAAGCACCTGGGCTTCTGGTCCTTAATAACAGGTTGAGATGGATCCAGCTGAGATAAACTGCACACAGCTGGTGGGGTACTGGGAATGATACTGATTGCAGCAGTATCAGTTTGGTTTCATCACTATTAGGAGAACTTGGTCCAACATGAGCATCAGACACAAAAATGTTGTGACTGGAATCATCTTCCAGTATGTAATACTGGAACTGGTATGGAGATACTAAGGCTGGTGAATCTTCTTTACACTGAGTATATAGTGTATACTCCAGGTATTGTTGTTCTTCAAAGGATAGGTCTTGGTTGAATACTAGGSGCTGGGGGTGTTCTTGTTGTTGCTGTCCAACACAAACGTGGGAAACAACAACAACCTGACCAGAGAACACTGGGGCTTATGGTCCACAAGAACCAGGGATGGATGGATCCACCAGCTGGGGCAAACTGCCACCAGCTGGGGACAGGGGAATGATATTGATGTAAGTAGGATAGTCTTGGTTAGATTGCTTTTGCTAAAGGCCAGGGAGGTGGATTTTCCCCTTTGGAAGGGGGTRTCACCATGGTGGGTTCAGATGCCAGAAGGCCTTCTTGGTCAAGTATGTATGTACATAGGAATCAGTAGGAAATCTAGGTGATAATTTTCAGAACCAAAGTGTAATGTTGTGCGTTTGAAAAATAGTAGTAGTGCTAGGACTACTAGATTACTATGAGGTATTTCCATTTTGATTTATTTCATATCTAGAATATGGTTGACACCCACACCCACACCTACACCCACAATCCATTCCATTGTCTCTTATTGGAATAAATGAAATCTGCTGCTGGTGCTAATGCTTATCAAACTCAATGATTGGATAAAATATTTGCATAAGTTTCACACCAGCAATAATGAGAGAGTTCTTCTTCTATTCTAGTATCAATTTTTTTAGATGCCAATGCTTGGATTCAATATAGGAAGCAGGACATGACCACAACTGCGAAGACAATTTGTAATATATCTTGCAGATTTATGATGATCTGATTGACAAAAATGGTTCTGTTCTGTTGTGCATTATTCCTGTCAAAGATCAAAATATACTTTTCTGTGGGCGCAGAACTCTGCATTTTGTGATCTATTCAGAAGGCATTGACTTTCCCAAACTCAGTGGTGAAATTCTAGGAACTCTTTCAGGTTGCGCAGGCTTCAAGTCCGATCACCTTGGCTGCAACACAGTCAAAATGTGTTATGTTGCTTACTACGCGTTTCATAACAATTGAATACGGTCGCAAAAGAGAGCAAAAAGTAATAATTTCAAGTTCTTAACTTCGATTTGAAGTTATCAACTTTTGCTCGTACATCATGTACCAGGTTCTACTGAGCTAGTTTTTTAATATGACTGAATGACCGAATCACGATTCCCTTCAAAACAAAAAAAATGGTTCAGGGCAATTGAGGTGATTCAATCATGAATCCGGCCTTTCAATCATGAATGCAATCCAAAAACTAGCTCAGTAGAACCTGGTAGACTTTCTACCAGGTCATTTTGAAGTTGATAACTTCAAATCGAAGTTAAGAACTTGAAATTATTACTTTTTGCTCTCTTTTGCGACCGTATTCAATTGYTACGAAACGCGTAGTAAAGCGCAAACGAAGAATATGATCATATCACAGAAGGAGTTGGGTTTYCATGCATCGTTCTACGATACCTATTATCACRAATAGCTCATAATGTAGAAGCTCTTGTAGGAGCCACTCACAAGACGAAGCATCTAAAAACCTGCTGATGCGTCGAACAACAAAGGGCAGCGATTTCACACAGTAACCAGACATGTCAAATAGTTGAAAGTTGCAATTCATTTGATAAGACTCTTTGGATTACATAGACACAAAATTTGAACATTATTGCTTTTTAGCCATAGTCATCATCATTATGATGGACTAATATTTTCAGTTTTTTCTCAGACCGGTCTGGTTGAGTTTGATTCATTCTTGTCAGTTTCAGCTTCGTCAGAAGTTCCTTCTTCTTTTTTAACGGGATTGTCCTGTAGTGGCYTACTAACCTGATCTTGAGTTGTGCTCTCATCATGTCCTTCATCTGTATTTGTATTCTTATTTCGTTCTGTCGTAAAATGGTTTGGGGAAGGGTGATCGTCGGTCGAAGTCACAGGTTTCCGATTACTTGTTTTTGAAGTTCTGCTTTTCATTTTTCCTGAATTTGTAACCTGTATTTTCTGAGCTCTTACTTCCCGAATAGTTGGAGATGTTTCTGTCGCTTCGATTATTTTCGATCTGCCATTCTCTAYATCCCCACCCCCATCAGAACCTGTTTCGTCTGTTTGCGTCTCTGCCTTGCGAGCAAGACGCCTTTTCCCTATTCGGTGTCTAAAAACAATTAGTGCGACAATAACAGCAACAGCTACTACTGAAGAGTAGATGCTAATGACGACTGGCTTCGATAATTCACCTTCATCGTTGTAAAAAATGTTTTCATAAACAGGCGCAACATTCTGCTCTTGGTTTTCCTCTTCATGTTTCGTTGATGATACAAATGAAACAGGCTCCCCATCAATTGACACGGAAATGACTTCTGCATTTTCAAATTTAACACTTCCCAAATAATCTTCTAAATCAGCTGCTCCCCAAAAGGAAAAGTAAACATTCAGACTCTGAGCTAAAGCATCAATGGAAGGGCCTTCGTCCTTGTAATACGCGACTCCATCCATCTGAATTAGATACTCAGTACCCAAAGACTTCGTATCGTTGAAAACTGAAATAAGGCCATTAGAATCAAGGTGGGAAAAATCGAATCTATAATTCTCACTGCTTTCTTCAAGAACGCCCTCTAGAAAAGTGACAAAATATGATTGGATTTGGTCAACAGAGACATCTTCTCCATTTGAGAGAATCACATCAAATGCGATAATGGGCAAGAGAACCCCAGGGTCTTCCGTTGGTGATATTGTTGGTGTTGTCGATGGGAATCCTGTCGGTGATGGTGTCGCTACTGTGGGTGATGACGTGGTCACAATAGTAGGTTTCCTTGTAGGTGATCTGGTTGGCCTCTTCGTAGGAGTGGCCGTGGGGWAAAGTGTCGGCGCTTTGGATGGTTCTGCGGTTGGGGCTGGTGATATTGTTGGTTCTGCCGACGGAGACGCAGTTGGCGTCCTCGTAGGACTTCGCGTTGGATCTTTGGTCTTCTTCGCTGCACAATCTCCGAGGAGAGTAGCTRAGAAAAAGGATAAGAAATACACGAATATCGCTCTTCTCCCGAAAACCATCGTGAATTCGAACAGGTAATTGTAATTATAATTATGCACTTCCTTTGTTGATAGTGTAGCTGTAACTGGTTTCGTTTGAGCAAGAGTGATAATATCAAAGCCGCTAAGAAATCTACGTTTTCATCGCTTTGTCTGTTGTGCCGTAACGTATCTGTTACTATCGAGCTGAAGTTTCGTGATGTGAACCTTTCGAACGAACCTGATGTCGTCAAATTGTGCTGCTGAGGAGGTGATACGATTCAACGCATAATTCATACGACTGAAAAGTGGAAACATMAAGAAAAAATGTGGCCAGCACTTTTTTCAACTCAGTTCCTAGTTCCTAGCGGGCGGTAGAAGTACTCGTATGTTGCAACGTACTTCCTCCGGTCCACTATATGTGTCATTTTAGCACCTTTACTACTGAAATGAGGTCAAAATTTGGACGATTGGTCTGCTTCGGTGGCAGTGGAAGTCGAAGGCACTGTACTACGCGTAAAATAACAATTGAACTTTCGTTACTACTGTAATTGAGGCATTGGGAACGTAATGTTAATTTAACGTTCGGAATGTTAATTTTTTTTTCTGTAGGCCTACGTAGATCCTTGTTGTATTATCCACATTCTTCAATTGGTAGCAAAACAGTCTTGCACGTGCCGAAAAAGGAAGAAGGGATCTAAAAAAGAGGAAGAAGAGGACAGCTCCCCTGCTAATATTCAGACTGTTAAGCAAAGCATTCAGGATGTTAAATTGAAGCAAAAAATACAGTACTCATTTCTAGGCAGCCTACGCTGGTAACATTYGGAGAAATGTTAAATWATCGTTCCCAATGCCTCAATTAACGAAAGTTCAATTGTTATTTTACGCGTAGCATTACTAGGAGTTAAATTGCATGCCACCACCAGCAATCAGTTATATAAGCTGGCATCTCATTCCCTTAACTTTATTGTTTCACACTGTTTCTTATACTAGTTCAAAACTCTACCAGCTCTACGACTAAAAACATCCTATTGGACAGTGGTTTCTTGAAAATCCACCCCCCAGACCCCCCTTGCCCTTGGGGAAAAAATTACAGTCAAAACTGTTTTAGTCATTTTTTTAAATGTTTTGACTTCCATGATTGGAATGCTTCTTTTTTTGTTTAACAGATCTATTATAAATGTATACAAGTATAAAGATCTGCAAGATCATATTAATTGAAAGTGTCTGGCATACTTGTATTTACTTAAAGAGKGYTTTTTTGGCATATCAATGTGGTTTTACTGTCAAATGGGTTCTAACTGTCATTTTGATATGCCTCTACTTGCGCATGATAGCTAAGAGTGACAAATTTTTGAGGCTGTAATTCTCTTCAGTATGGATAACTTTCTTCTTGTTCAAAAAGAGGTGCCTGTTACCATTGTCAATGAAATTTTAGTAGTTCCCAGTGTTAATACAGAGTATTTTCATGTGTAAAAATTAAAATAATTTTTATTCACATGCATGCACATTTTTAGTCCTCAGTACTAATTGTACATGTTCTACACAGTTATTCATTAAATCCAACTGCCAAAACACTCAAAAACTTGCAAGTAAASTGGAGACACATATACAGGACCAACAAAAACAGGTTACAATGACACATATAGTGGACCAGAGGAAGTATTGTACAATACAGTAGGTACTGTAATTCTTTCTACGGTACGTACAGTACCTACTCTCTCAAAACAGTACCAGTAGTACAAAGATGCTTCTCAAATCTCTGAACACAYTTTGAAGGACATGAGCGCTACGTACAGTACCATGCCATACTGTCTTGCAGTGGGGCTCCAAAAGGTTACGGCAATGGTTCATTCCTGGAAACATTGATGAACTAGTACACTGGATGAAAATTGTGTGCTATTTAGTTTTAGAATTAAACCAAWTGGTGGGAGACTTCAAGAGTCACAATTTATACTAAGCTGGCAATGAGTGACATTTCAATTGTGAGGTAAGGAGAAAGCATTGTCRGAACTTCAAGGCAAAGATCAGGACAATTACTGATATTCTTGCTGGATAATGACTGATAYGCAGGAATGAGTCAGTGAGTCATGAGTGTTGTGTCCGTGTGCTGTTCATTGATTTACTAGGGATTGTAATATTGAGTCATTTTGGGGGGCAGTCAGCTCAAAAATGTGTACACCAATGGATAAAAAGTGGTTGTAGAGAGGGAGCTACTAGTAGCTACCATTGGTGGTTATGTCACCAAATGAATATTTCAGTTGGAATCCAGGACCTAAGAATTTCAGTCTCACAAGCAAGCAAGCASAAAGARATTTGCTCTGTAAGAGTACAATTTTTCTTTAAGTTTTGCTTGACACAGAACACTCAAGAAAATACATTGTCGATCAATTGACCCAGAATAGTTAGTACTACTAACAGGACAAATAGATTATGGAAGAGTACCAAATGCCATGATGGACTTCCTTCACAGTTACCAACTTTTGAAAAAAATCTTCATAATAATTAACCTTGTGAACTAGAAGATGTACTATGTGGTCAGAACCATAACTTCTCCTGAATARGAAGAAAAATGCTCCTAGCTGCTCTGAAGAGCAGCACTTCCCTCCAAGGAGTGTTTGTGAAGAAGCCACCAGGTTTTATTTGTACTGACAAGCCAATTAAGGCCTGGGGCTTAACTCAGAGGACATCAAAAGAGTTGGCTTACATTTTGGATGGATGACAACCATGGTGCCATTATCATTTCAAAATGCACTGYCAAGCCAGGAGGCAAGTCTCTCTGCAGTGATCAAGGAAGCAAGCACCAAGCACACTGCCAAGCCAATCAAGACAATCTACCTCACAGTGGGTAAGGACACATGTGGTAGAGTGGTCATAAAAATAAAAAAATAGAAGCCAAAAGAAAAAGAAAGCCAAAAAGATAATTATCACTAACCAACTTACAGCCCCCCCCCCCCCCAACAAATAGGAGCAACGGTTTGTGTAGACCCTTCTTGGAGAAGAGGGGAACTGGGGATAGATCAAGAAGATCAAGATGCTGGGTTGAATACTTGGGGCTGGGGTTGTTGGTACTGCTTTCTGGCACAAATGTTGGAAACATAAAATGTCCTGACCAGAAACTATTACGGTCCAAAGAGCTGGGGTAGGGGAGGGGTGCTGATCTTAGCAGCACCAGCTTGGTGGAATTGCTGTAATAGGAGCTTGGGTTATTTCTGTTGCTGTCCAACATGAATGTCAGAAACAACAACATTGTGACAAGAATCTTCTTCCAACTTGTGCCTGGAGCTTAGGCTGGGGAATTTCAAAATGAAACTGGGTCTGTAGCATATACTCCAGGGTTTGTTATTCAAAGGATAGGTCATGGTTAAATACTTGGGGCTTGGGTTGTTCTTGTTGYTTTCCAGCATGAATGTCAGAAACAACAACAACTTCAACACTAGAAGATACCTCCAGAAAMGATACTTGTGGTCAATAAGAACCAATGGGGAAGGATCCACCAGCTGAGGCAAATTGCATGAAGCTGGTGGGGTTACTGATCTCACCAGCACCATCTTGGTTGGGTTGYTTGCATAAGAACTTGGGTTGGTGTTGTTGCTGTCTAACATGACTGGCAGGAACAACAACCGGTCCATAAATAGAACTGGAACTGGCATGGAGTGAAGGCTGTGATAAATAATCTTGAACTGAGTATATAGCATATATTCCAGGTGTTGTTCATCAAAGAGCAGGTCTTGGTTGAATACAGGGGGCTGGGATTGTTGTTGTTGCTGTCCAACATAAATGTCAGAAACAACAACATCATGACAGGAATCACCATCTTCTTCTGGTCTGTAAGAACTGGGGCAGGGGACAGAAGGATGCTGGTCTGATCAGCATTAGCTTGGTTGGATTGCTGTAATAGGAGCTTGTTGGGTTGTTGGTATTGCTGTCCAACACAAATGTCAGAAACAACAACATTGTGACCAGAATCTTAATCTACTTCTTCTGGTCTGTAAAAAATACTACTGATGGAACTGGGGCATGGAGTTGAGGCTGGGAAATCTTCTAAAGTGACCAATTGAGTATGTAGCACATACTCCAGGCATTGTTCTCCAAATGAAAGGTCTTGGTTGAATACTGGGGGCTGGGGTTATTGTTGTTGCTGTCAGAAACAACAACTTCAAGACCAGAAGATACTGTAGGCCAGGCTTCTTTAGAGAGCTGAAACGCCAAACGTTCAAAATTCAATTGCTATCAACTGTTGCAGTAGTGTTTCCACCATGTCAAATCCTAGGAAGTATTCCTCCATCCGCAAGAAGTTGATTCCTACTGGGAATCCAAACATGCCAAAGGAAGTACCCCATGGCAGAGTAGTAGATCAGCATTTGGCAAAAAGAGAGGAGATTGAGGCAAGAGACTTAATCTTATATCTTTGAAATGCTGGACACTGTTCTCTCAGGTCTTGGTCTCAATCCTGCCAGTTGTAATACCCAAGAAAGAAGAGACAAGCCCCACAAGATCAAGCATTGCAAATTGTTCAGCAATGGTGTTCTCAGAATAATTCTTAAGGTGAGTAGTAGACTAGTAGTACCTAGTATTTGATTAATTTTGATTAATTTAATTTATGATGATTAGCAAACAACAACAATGAACTTGTATCAAGGTGCTGCTTGCTGCTCTTGTTCTATCTTAATCATGCAATTCACCATGTTATTTGATGCAATATGATGTATTATTTGCCATACTGTTTGTATTCCATGATACTTCAATAGAGCGTTACAACAATGCCTTTGACAACTCCTCGTTAAGAGACAAGTAGCAAAGTGTCTCCAACAGTTAATAACAATTTTTCAGTGAATAAACAAAATATTTATAATGGCCAGGACCAGCAATAGCCTGGTCTATATTTGTCAATGGATGCAGAAATAATATTTGCCAAATGGATGCAGAACATTATGTCCCACTAAAATCTTCTCAATTGYAGAACTCCTAAAGAAAGGGAAGATATACACAAAAATTGGCAATTAAAAACATTAGTAAGGTGCTACTGCAAGAGCTCAGCAAGAATAACATGGTGTATTGTGTGGGTTCAGGATCAAAATAAATCTTTATCTTGCATTCAAGCGATTCATGATACCAGTATTCATATGGAAATAAATGAAGGCAACTAGCTAACAAATAAATCATTGACCATGAGATTTAACTACTGTTGAACCTCCCAGGAACCAATGAGTATCRATTTGATTCAATAATTGCTGGCTCTGAACATGCCAGTCATATCATCAGCCATAGTGTCAGGGGTGTTCTCATAAGCAAAATATCCTATCTTTTGTTTTGCAAACAAGTCTTGGAGCTCTTTGAATGATCTGAATCCAGCTGTATCCTCATTCATATAGGTGCTGTTGAGGATCTGGTTGATTCCAACAGCACTACACTGATAATTGTACACAAGCAACATGAGGTTAAAAATGATCTTCCTTTTCCCATATTCTTCTAAGGTGAGCTTATCTTTCATTTGGAGGAATTATCCTTAAATTATACATATCCCCCATTCTGATAATTGCCAAATAGCTGTTGCTTCAATGTTAATTGCTACTACTAGTACTACTAGTACAGTGTGGGTGTTCTCTTCCATAGTAGTATTAAATGGATCAGGATTATTCTGCTGGCTAGGGATGACRAGATGTTGGGCTCCTTTCAGCTTACATGCTGAGTTGACAACAACACTGCCTCTGGTGTCATCATATATGGTCTTTACCCTGCCTGTCATAATATGCTGTAATTGACCATGGTACAGTCATGCCAAGTTCCAGGGTAGGTGAATGTGGTCACGGAATTCTTCCGTCTGAAGCAAAGACAAGAACACTGTTGATGTATGTATCAGCAACCCACGAGTTGCAATATTGATTTTGAATGGTCCAGTTGCTGGACTGCTGAAGCTTACCCTCTCTCTTCCAAGTGGCTCATACTTACTTAAAATGGCGCCACCACATATTCCTCCACTTCTTCATGGCATGGGCAGTAATTTTACGACGCGTTGCACACCCCTCTAAATTTATGACCCCTGACCGTACGTGGGTAAAAAAAAAGATARCTACAGTACGAATTAGAGGACGTACGGTACGGTAGCACAATTGGGAGAACGTTCCATTTCATGCAACCGCATACCGATTTGTGATCAAAAGACCTCCCGGAACGAATAAAAGATCATGGGACCTTCTGCCGAAGATATTGTCACCGCTATGCATCGAGCCATAAAGGAGACTCCGTCTTTAAGGTCTCGCTTCAATGCTGTGGTTGAGTTTTGTCTTTTTGACGGGAGCGATGTAACGAAGGGGAAGATAGATATTTCAAAAAATAAGAAAGGCACCAGTGGTAAAGCTGATTTAATTGCGTCGTGCGATTTGAGCTTATTTCACAAGCTACTGAACAAGAAGATCACGCCACAACAAGCATTCATGCAGGGGAAATTGAAAATCAAAGGAAACATGGGATTGGCCATGAAGCTAACCCTCGTACTTAATGCGACCCGAAAAGCATTGCAGAATGAAAACAAAGTACAGCGATCGAAATTATAGGAGCATTATTACTATSCTGATTATCAAGCACTTTAATGGTGTTTCACTCCGCATCATCTAATTCTACGAATTTCTGGGTACTATTTGCCTGATGTGATCATCCGTCAAGTTATCGAAGCGATACACAGACTTACAACCACCGTTTGTCCGTGGATGCTATAAATCTAGTTGTCGGGCATGTTTTGTCACGGATTATTCAATGAAGATCCCAACTGAAAACTCTAGGGACCGGAGAAGATGGTGAAATTAGATCACAATAATTTGGGTTCCACATCCACTTCTGGGCGAGAGTACCCGCATAATTGTTCTTGGCAGTTGCATAATTCGGCATTGATTGACATTCATCTTGGGCCTTCAAACGGAGTACACCTGTAGGTCTCCTGTAGTGGAATTTTTCTTCAGCTCGGTTAATCTGTTGTTGCACTGGTGCTTCTTGTCGTCTGCTTCCATAATTTGATCCTCGACCCTGCATTTCAGTTTGCATTTCGTACCGAAAATCTTGGGATTCTTTTTGGTCGTCCAATTTCATATCCGGAGTTGACATTCCAGAATACTGTTGAGGAAGAATGGGGCGAGAGCATGAAACATATCTCACTTTCTCCGAATAGCGGTTTCTGTCAGTTTTGTTTCGGTTGGAAACTGGAATCTGCCACGGGGACCCAACATTTGCTGTTCTGTCGGACTTTGTCTCTTTGTTCATTTCCTCCGTTTCAACGTCGTTCATCAACGATCCATTGGTGCGCAATGTTAGTCTCTCGACTTGAGAGGCATTCAACACGGCTCTTTCCTTGGCCAGTCGTGTGCTCTCCATCGTATACTGCTGATAAACCTGTGCAAGGATAATATCATCATCTCCAGTCGAAGAATGTGCGTCACGACCATTTTCCTGACGAAGTTCTTGCTCAAAAATTACAGCGAAGACAGCATTTTTGCTTCTTTGACGTCTGTGAAAACGCTGCATTCGCGTTTCAACCCCTAGCAAATCTTCGCTCTTCGTCCCGTTCATGAAGCTCCAGGCAGAAAAACYCCGGGACATGCGCTTTTCGCGAGAGCGGAAAGACTCGTAGTCTCGATTTTGGTAATAGCAGGCGTCAATTTCTTCATCTGACATATCTCGAGCACTTTCTATCCAAAGTATGGAGGTAGTCTTGCGGAACCGCAGCGTCCTACCAGGAGCACTTTCTCTACGTCCTTCATTTGCCGATGTTTGATTGCGAGAAGATAAAATAGTTTTTTTCGAGGTAACTGAACGTACCGGATCATCGGCATGTAACCAGCTATTTTCGACAATCATTGAAGCAGAGAATCGGAAAATATGTTCGCAACTTTGAAAGATTTGGCAACTCGGATTAAAAATTCAAATGCCGTTTCCAACTATCGTTTGTGTATTTCTCAATCCGAATGTTGAGTAGATAAATATCCTCATTCTATGGGGATTTCGACACCACAGCAGAGAACGATCGAAAAGACAACAAATGTCATGAGGTCATCAAGTTTTTCGTAAGAATTTCGGAACATGCCATCTCAAATTAACGGGGTGACGGGCGTCTGAATTCTTCGGTTTCGTTRAGACGCATCTTCCTGGTACATCCAACAAATTTGTGTATTATCGATGATAATTGTGGCAGATATTGAATCTTTCATCGTAATTCTGGCAAAGAAGGCTYTTTCAACTTTAGCTCGACGAAAGATCTGAACGACACGACTATGTTCCCCAATCGTATGGTACGATACGAGTACCAGGGGTCATAATTTAGAGGGGTGCGCATCGCGTCGAAACTCAT